AACGGGGCTGGGTTTGGGACTACTCCATCCCTGGTTCTTCCATTCTTCCCTGTCCCCAGGCGCTGGGCATGGAGGTTGTCATGGTCCCCGGCAAAGGACCAACGTTCACAGAGCCCCTGAAGGAGGTGGAGGATCTGCTGAAACTGCGACAGAAGGTGGACGTGACTGCGGAGCTGGGTTATGTCTTCCAGGCCATCACGCTGACGCGACACAGCCTGGAGGGCAAGGTCCCCCTTTCTGGGGCGCCTGTAAGTGATGTGGCTCCTCCATGTGGGATTCCCAGCTGGGCTTCTCTTCTCTTTCTTCTGGGGTGACACCAGCTGTGATGCCCCCAGAGCTGTGGGTGCTGTAGGGGTGCATAACTGGGGGACATTCAATGCAGGAGCAGCTGTGCCCCAGGCTCTGGGTTGCTCACAGGTCCCACCTTCAGCACTGGGACTGGCCCCTCACATTCTATGATTCTATGATCTTCTTCCATCTCCCATCACCCTCCTCACTCCCGTCCTCTCCTTCCCGCAGTGGACGCTCATGTCCTACATGATTGAAGGTGGCGGCTCCACTACAATGGCTAAGGCCAAGAGCTGGCTCTACCGTCACCCCGAGGCAAGCCACCGACTGCTGCGGCTGCTGGCTGATGTTGTCACTGACTCCCTGGTGGGGCAGGTGGCTGCTGGAGCGCAGGTGTGTCCTAGAGCATGGGGACAGGGCCTGGCAGGAGGGCGGGGGCTAGGGACAGGGCACAGAGGGGATGAGGAGGGCCTGAGGTGCAGCTCTCCCAGCCCCATGAACCCGGCAGGCGCTCCAGCTGTTTGAGTCCCATGCGGGGCACCTGGGCCCGGAGCAGTTTGAGGACTTCGCCCTGCCTTACATCCGAGACATTGCCCGGGCTGTCAAGAGCAAACTGAAGGAGGAGGCGTTGCCGCTGGTGCCCATGGTGAGTCAGGGCTGCCTGGGTTGACCCCAGCACCTGGGGCCTGCTGGAGAGCGGTGCATTCTCTGGTACCTGCCTCCTCAGTCTAGTCTGTGGAAAGGGGCCTGACCCATAGCAGAGTTACTGCCTGTCTGCTCCCTCCCCAGATCATCTTTGCGAAAGACGCTCACTATGCACTGCGCGAGTTGGCCCATGCCGGGTACGAGGTGGTTGGACTCGACTGGACCATCCGGCCCCAGGATGCTCGGTAAGAGTCTGGCGCAGTGCTCATGTACCCAGGCAGCACCCCAAGCCAGGTCCCGTGACCCCTTCCTCTGCCCTGAGCCGTCCCAGGCCTGGAGATTTCTGCTCCAGAGGTGGGGACAGTTGGGCCCCCATGCTACATGGAGCTTGCAGCAACCAAGGACTGCAGTGAGGGGTCCCACGTGCCCTGTGGTGGGGGCTGCAGGCACCTGGCTGCCCCTCGCCTGTGCACCACACACAACTCACCTGCTTCCTCCCTGCTGCAGTGCACAGACAGGGAAGGACGTCACCCTGCAAGGGAACCTGGATCCCTGTGCTCTTTATGCACCCAAGGTGAGCCATTGCCATTGCCAGCAATGAGGGCTGGTTCCAGCCTGTGTTAAAGCCTCCTGCCTCAGTTTCCCCTCCTGCAGTGCTGGGTTGTGTTCCAGCAGTCCCGCAGGCTGGCTGGGGCCTGGTGGGGGTGGAGTACCCTGGCTGGATGGGGCTGACACGATTTCCCACCGTGCCTACAGGAGAAGATTGGTGAGCTGGTGAAGAAGATGCTGGAGGGTTTTGGGACCCAACGCTACATCGCCAATCTGGGCCATGGCCTCTACCCCGACATGAGCCCTGAGCACGTGGGTGCCTTCGTGGAGGCTGTGCATGCTCATTCCCGCCACATCAACAAGCACAGCTGAGCGTGGGGATCTGGGGACAGGACTCTGGTTTGGGCAGTCACCCCAAGTAGTATGTTGTCACAAGGCTTGCTCCAGGCTGGGCTGCAGCATTAAACCAGCACCTTCTCCACAGCAGCCGTGCGGCTCTGGCTGGGGGGACGGGGAACTGGGTGGCCCTGGAGGACATGGGCAGTGATGGCAGCCTGGCATTGGGGCACGTGAGGTCAGGGCAGGGGGTGACCCTGAGCCCTGTCCTGCACGCCAGACTGGGAAAACGGGGATGCCAGCCAAGTGCGGGGGGATGCCTTGCCCTTCCAGGCTGCACAGTGGTGTGCCAAGGGCTTGAGAGAGAGGATGTGAGCCCAGAGCACCATAGGCATCTCCTGGCACTAGGGATGTGCTCAGCTGTGTGAGGGCAGAGGGGCTGCCCGAGGCTGTCACGGTCACAGCCTAGGAGCTGGGGCCTCGCAGCCCACTGCTGCGGTGGGGGGGGGTGGGAGTCAGTGTGAGCCATGCCACAGTCCTGCTCAGGTGGAAACAGGCAACCTGACATTGACCAAGGGCACTCCGGAGCAGGTGGAAGACCCAGCAGAACTCACCTGTGTGACAGCCAGACACATAGCAGGAGCTCTCGAGACACTAGCACCACCAGCATGCTGCCACACTGGCTGCGATGGCAGCAGAGACACAGCGATCCTAGCACCGCCATCACCCTCCTCTGGCTCCCAGAGTCTCTTTGGGACCATCCCACTGGTCCTGGAGATCTCTCCCCCACACATGCCTCCCCATCTCCGCTGATCCTGGGGGCCGAGCCTGTCTGGGGTTCAGCAAACCCTGCAGAAAGCAGCCCAACATGCCAGCAGCACCCAGGAACCCTTGGTTTTTACTCTGTGCCACCCCATGGCGCACTGCAGCACTCACTGTGGTCCAGGCTGGCTATAGGATGGATCAAGGCATGGGTGCCAACACTGCTCCAGCCAGCATGGACAGGGCAGTGCCACCAGAGCATGGCAGGGAATTGCACCCTGAAGCAGCCAGGATGCCTTGCTGCTGCTCTGTCCCCCTCCCTGCGGTGCAGGAGTTGGGTACCACAGGGGTTGCAATGCCACCTCCTCCCTGGGGCTCTGCCCTGCTTGCATTGCCCACAACGCCAGGCTGCCCAGCAAGACACCTCCAACTTCAGAGAAAGGCAGTAGAGATGCAGGCAGTAATGTTCATCCCTTTTATTATTAAACATCAGATGAAGAGGTCGCACACACACATACACACACGCACGCAAAAAAAAAAGGGGGGAAAAAAAAAAAGAAACAGACTGGTTGAAGACCGCTATTTTGGTGGTGACAGAGATCGATTACAATTGGTTTCCTGGCCGGAGCGCGGACACAAGAGTCACTTGCCAAAAAATTAAAAGTAAAACCAGACAGCAGATAACTAGCCCACGTTCTCTAACTACAAGTCACCGTCCAGACCAGCCCCAGC